TATATATGCATAAATAAATATCCTGGTTGGTAGTTTCAACCCCTCTGAAAAATATGAGTTCGTCGATTGCGATGATGACATTCCCAACATATAGAAAAATAAGACATGTTCCAAACCATCAACTGGTATATACTGTATATATATATATGCATGTACCCTCTGGTTATTTAACAGTTCGCCATGGAAAATCCACCCATTTTTAAGAACGGTAAACCATCTATAAATAGGCCATCTATACCATGGCTATGGCCCCATCTCAGTGCCCACGCCAAATCATCCCCATTGGCATCCAAGAGCAGCTTCACCTTGAAGCGGTTGAAATCACTTGGGGCCCATTGATGGTCGGGATGGGCATAAAAAAGGCATAAAAAACGACCCATGACTATGAGCATATGAGATGAATCATGTGTATGTACTTGAAATAAACTTGATATCTTGATTCTAAGTTTGTGGTGCTTTGGGTCAAAAAAGATGACATCTGTTGACAAGCATGTGCCGGATGCTTGAATCAGCTTGAGAAGTAGAACCCAAGGAGCGGGATATTCCCCGACTTCTGGCAAAACCTTCAGCCACTCAGCCATTCACCAGCAAACACAATGAGTTGTCCTTGGAGATCCATTCATTTCTTGCCGAAGTATAGTTGGTTGCTGGTTTTCTCCTTGAAAAATGATGGACTTCGTCAATAGGCTTTATAAACCAACAACCAACTTATAGCTGGGGGGTACCACCCTGCATGTTCCATAGCACCAAGCTGAGTCATTGATGACATGAGGCCCGGCCATGATTCCCCGATTCCGTTTCCAGTGACGTCACCAAGTCACAGGTCGTTGTCATTTATCTACAGGTAGATATAGAGATATTTAATGATATTTCAATAAACTATATGTAGAATGTAGACTCAAATATGAAGATTTGTAGCATCTTCGACTCAAAAATTTTCAGCTTCACCAAGACGAAATGAGGCTCCAACAGTAGCCGCCTGGCTGTTTGAGGTGCCTTAGGGACGCTAGAGGCGCACTTTTTTTCTGCTGGAATCTAGGGACTCCAACTGAAAGCAGCTCACCTGTTGTGGCATCAACCAGGCTTTCTTGATTGGTCAATGGGTGCCTTATCTCATTCCCCTAAAACATCCTAAAACTAAGATACCCCCAATTTTTCGGGACCCCAAGATGAACAAATCATATCTGCTGAACCCTGGTTTTTACGGGGTATCTATTGATTAGAAGTAGTCATTAGATGACGATACGCTCGGGAAAGACTTTTTGCGCTGCACGTGGCAACAAAAAATAAGGACTGCGCGAGGCATGGCACTCGTTGCGGCGTGTTTGCGCCGTTTCTTTGTTGAGAACAGGGCATGGGTCAAAATATGTCAAAATTTAAGCCCTGTGGGACCACCGATTTTAGTAGTTCAATGTTTAGTATTACCCTCTGCTAAACTAACATAGCGATGGAAAATCAGCTATCAATTTTGCCCATTTTCAATAGCTATTTTGACATAACCAGAGGGTAACCATCTACAGATTCTACAGTGACCTGGCTGCCATTGTCTCGCCTCGCAGCCGTGAAACATCAATTTCTCGTTTCCGAGGTGCACGAAGTGTGACCGGCACTGAGCTGTTCCAGGTAAACATAAATCCCACTGGCTTTTGTCTTGCTGAACATGCTAAGCATGACAAGAATCTATAGATATCTATGTCTATATCTCTATATCTCTATATCTCTATATCTCTATATCTCTATATCTCTATCTATCTATCTATCTAAATGTTTATATGTCTATTATATTCTATTCTATTCTATTCTATTCCACTCTATTCTATTCTATTCTACTCTATTCTAATCTAGTTATTCTATTATTTTTTCTTTCTTTCTTTCTATTTATCTATCTATCTATCTAGTAATGTTTTTCTATCTATTCTATTCTATTCTTTTTTATTCTATTCTATCTGTCTATCTATTCTATTATTTCTATCTATCTATTCTATTATGTCTATCTATTCTATTCCATTCCATTCTATCTATATATATATATACACGCAATAAAAGCTTGATCGATAATAATTTGGCAGAACAAAGCCGCTCTTGGATTCCGCCAAGCGTTGGTTGCACAGGCTGGCAGTGATACCCCACGGTAAAGTGATGTAGGTTAGATTTGGGTTGTGAACCCATGGTTTTCCATGCTTTTCCCAGAAATGATCTATAAGCGCAGGGCTTTCCATTTCACATCTTATGTACATATATACATTTATATGCCGTAAATGCTGATGTACCAGAGAATAAAGGATTTTCGGACTTTCGTTCAAGAAATGATGCGTGTTCTGGCTCAAGGCTCAACCCCAACTCGCATCTCTGAGTTCAATCTTGAGTTTCTTCGCATTTTAAGGTGCTCTTTCAAAGACCTCAAACATTTCCCAAACATCGTTTCCACCCTCTGAATCGCTTTATATAATCTTTCACTGGATTGATTTGAGGAACCTTGTAGGAATCCACATTGTCTTCACCATCAAAATATCTCCAACTCAAAATCTCGAAATGTCGCAAGAAACTGCCACCCACACATCAAGATGTCCATTTCAGTCTCTGGTGTTGCAAATCTTCTGTGGAACAGCCCAGCTGTTGTCATGTTGCCATCTTTGTGTGGCAAAAGTCCAGGGGTTCGAACTATTCATGGGCCATCTATACCATAGCTATGTTAGAGAAAGACATAAAAACAGAAAAACACTGGGATTCAGCGGCAACAAACATGGGAAATTACATGGGAAATTGGAGATCTGTAGGCTTTCAACTAAAAGAAAAACACCCCGAAGCTCTTTGGAACACCCCTTTCCCACCTCGGGGGGCACCACAATTCTAGGTTCCCCGCCCAGAGACACCATATGGGTTGAAAATGAAGCCTACCATGATGACAGTATAACAAGCGTTGCCAATGTAAGCAGCTAGACCAGAAGTGTGGGCACATGGGTTGGCACATAGGGGGCCCCCCATGTCTAGATGATTCAGCCCAAATTTCGAACCAGCGGAGCACGGAAGCAACAAACAAATTCGGGATTTCATTGGATTTGAATCCCAACTATGGGAACCCAAGGAAATCACTAAATCATCATATATCATCATAAATTTCAATGGAAAAGCGAATGATAGTCTCGCCCCGAATTTCAAAGTGTTGGACGATTTTCTTTGGGAATACTCCCATCATTTGCCTCGGGATCGGGAAAGTTTGAACCAATGGAAAAGTCTCCGTCTCAGAGCACTGGAGAGAACCCCATGGCTGATCGAATTCATCGCTTTCCGCGCTGCGCGAGCTGCGAAAAAGCCGCAAAGGTTCAGGGTTGTTATCCAGGATGACCAACAAAGAAAATGATGAATCAACTGGCAACTAATTTGAACCATCAGAAATGAGGGTTTAAGCCAAGCCGGGCCTACGGGCCCTACGAAATACACGCTGGCTTTCAATGACTCTGTAGAATTTTACCTTGTTACCCAACACACTTGTAAATTGATTAAAATGGAGGTTCAATAATCACAAACGGGAATTCAACTAATTAACTTGGGACTTGGGATATTACGTTACTAGCACCACTTTGCACAACAGAAGTCCTGAACTTTCCAGACTGCCAGTGCCTTCCCGCCTACTGGCTTATACAAATAGTTCCCTTAGGTCTTGATTTGCCTGGTAGGTTACTTGGGTGATGATCCGATTTAGTCATTGATAATTGAGATTGAAAGGGTGATCATGGCTGTAGAGCACTCAAATGCATTAAACAAAAAATGTCCATTAGGACCCCTCAGCTACTTACCAAAAAGGGGTCCAGGTGCTTCCTATCCACATACTAAGATGAATATCCATCCTGGTGCATGCCTTTCGCACACGAAAAAGCATCAAAGAACTGTTGGATGCAGTTGCATCATGATCGCAACTTCATGATCCGCGCCAGGCACGAGCAGCCATGCGCCATGGTCAAGGACGATAGATGCTTTATGATCATCCATCCCATCCTGGGAATCCAAACTCTTTTTGGGTACATTGACCCCTATTAACTGATGGATGGCCACCCCTCACTATGGGTAAATAAAGGTACAGCAGCATGGCATGATATTGCTCATACAAGTATTAAACCATATTAAACCAGATTAAACCATATCATATACCATATTAAACCATATCATATACCATATTAAACCAAATTAAACCATATCAAACAACTGTATCATCCAGACCATGGCACATCTATGTTTCATGGTGGCATGCTTCGCCTCATGGGCTCATCTCCTCATCCGAGGAGTGATGGCTACTCGGTTGTGACGATTGCCCGGCGCTGGAAGCCGTTCCGCCACTGGAGAGCATGGACCTAGAACTGTGCCCGGCGGAACTCGAATGCTGACCTGGCGAGTCGTCAAGTTGGTCAAGTGATACACTGAGGATTCACCGTTAGTCCAAAAAGGTGGATGGGCGATGGCCATCTTTTTTTGGGGATTTACGGGATTCCCATGGCGCGGGAGGATATTATAAACCATATACATCCATATACTATATACCACGCTTTGACCCACAGTGGCACAGTGGCACATCTGTTTGATGCCTTCGAGACAACATGACACAGCCCAAAAACATGAAAGTCGATTGGAACATATTAGAACCATCATACCCTATCATAGGATCCATGTATGCCATATATATGTAACATTTACCATCAATATACCCCCAATGTTAGCATATATACCAGCACCATGGATCCTATGGGTACCAGCATGATCTCCGAGATCTTTGAAACCACCAGCCGCCAGGTCTGTAATTTTTTTGTGGATGGTTCGGCAACGTTCGGCAACCCTGCCACTCAAAAGCAATGCGATCCAGGCGCTCAACGGGTGCTTGAAACCAGTTCCCTCAAGTTGATCGCAGTAGGGGATGGAAAACATTGGAAAACTATAGTCTGTGCGATAAAATCATATCTTAAAAACTTAACCAAAAACTATAGAGTTAGTTACTTGCCCCTGACAAATCACACAAAGTGCTTATAGGTCATCATCCAAGCCCGGCCTGGTTCAACATGCTTCAACCATTTTGATCTTTGGGGCCCAACCCCGGCGCCTCCGGTGCCAACTTCCAGACCCTTGCGACGCAAGGCTTTCTCCAGTAGATACTCGATGTGCGCCAACCGCACATCTGGATTGTCCTGCAATTGGCACAGCCTCAAAACATGTCAGCTTTTGTAGAATATTGTAGAATCCTAAGCATGTGACAAGGCAAAATAAGGCAAGCTGGATATCTCTGCTGCAAAATGAAAGCACCATCTGACTTGGAGCCTCCAGTTGGATGTTTTCATGGCAAACCACTGGTCTCATGACATCTTTGCGTTCCTTGACTTGACCCCTGATTGAGAAGACATGTGCCATCCCACTCCTGGCTTGGGCATTTCACTGATCAAATGACCGTGGTTCACCCTGTCGCAATGACTGCTCTCTCACCTTGAACTCAACCGAGTTGGGGATCGATGCTATGAAACACAGATCCCATTACCCCCCATTTTTTTCATGGAGTTATGGAGTTCATACTCAGATTCCCAACATACAAATTCTCATCTTACCCATGCCATGGTGATTTGGAGCTACCCTCTGGTTATGACTAACGTAGCTATAGAAAATCAATCACCATTTTTAAGAACGGTAAACCACCTATAAATCTATAAATGGCCCATCTATACCATGGCTATGTTAGTAATAATCAGAGGGTAAATCATCATTAATCACCATTAATCATGGATTAATCACCATTAAATCACCATTTTCCTATGGTTTTCCTATAGATCGGATTAATCAGAGGGTAACTTCACCCAGGTCCTCTCCAGCAATTTTCACCCGCGGTCCTCGGCCCCGTCGTTGGTGCGCTTCTGCCGCTCCTCGGGCCACGGCGCCTCCGAGGCGGTGGTGCCGCCGTAGCGTTTGATGGGCTCCTCGTTCTGGCGGGTGAGACCCGACGGCTCATGGCTCTGGATGCAACCTGGCAGAGCGGACTTGGAAAAGTCTGTTGTGAGATTTTTGGAAAATGCCAATGCCAAAAATGATCTTGTCATACTACACGCACATATGTATCATAGAAACTATATAGATATTTAATGATATTTATAGCAATTATTTATGCAAAACAAACAGCCTGCTGCTTTTCCGGCATCCCAAAAAAGGCTGCCGCCTGCCAAACCCAAATCACCCTCGTCGAACTCGCGTTTCTCATCTAAGCGAAGTTCCTTGGCCCACAAGCATTGCTTGTGTGTTTGATGGCCAATTCAGGAACCTAAAATGGAGGTACCTACCATATATAAGGCCTATATAAGGGCTATGTAAGGGGATATTCCCAGAAAATATGGCCTTATATGGTGCAGTACCTCCAATTTAGGTTCCTGGAATTCCTATTGAGACTAGGGTTCCTGGTACAACTGAAATGGGTACACTTTGTGTAATGTCATCATGTTATCTAAGTCATCTACCGGTTGCTAAATGATGTCACTACAAACCTAGTTTGTACCCTCAAATGGCCTCTTTACCGTTTTTTTTTAGATCCTTCTCGGTCAGGATGGGCGCTGGATCTCTGTACCAAGCCATATACTGTGGTCACGATCAAATTGGAGGGACCGTGTGATCCCATGAAAACATACGCATGACACATGTTCCCTCTGGTTATGTCAAAATAGCTATTGAAAATGGCCATAGAAATAGTGGAATTTCCCATTAAAAATGGTGATTTTCCATAGCTATGTTAAATTACCAGAGGCTATAGTAAAACAAGAACTGGGTGATCACTGGTTCCGCGAACTCCTTGCAGTATGAACGCTGGAGCTCCAGCCTATCCAGTGCCTATCCAGTGGTCTTAAAGGAAATTGACCCTCTGGCAATCCAATCTAGCCATGCCATGGCCAGGGTCAAGCCGGTGATTGAGACTTGCATGCTAGAAAACATTCCAGAAGTTAATACATATCATTGTAGTAGTTTTTGCGCTCTACCAATCATCATATTTTTTTTTGAATACACACACTATATACCCATTACATCCCATTACAGTATAGTTCCCATCATAGTTATAAGACTGATGTTAAAGTCCTAAACAAGTTGATAGATATGATTTGGATTGATTTGGATATATATATATATACAGTATATATATATATATCCCATCAACTATCCCATGAAACATAATGTCAATCCCGCTTTAGTAAACCCTGACTATTTTATTGGGAGGTTGCCCAAAAAAAAACTTTTCAAATGAGTTTTAAAGTTGGAAAACTGCCTCTCTATTTCCCTAAAAAAAACTGGTGGCTGACATTGATCCTGGGTTTTCACAGATAAAAAAATCAAATGAGTGGTGGCTTCCCCAGCTCATGAGTCACCTGCAATGCTGTAATACAGTATCATATACAAATAGATTTATTTACTTATTTAGGATGGTTTGATCCAACCTGTATAATTACAATATATGTACATGTGTATATATATATATGTATGCGTGTGTGTGTCGTTTTTTTAATGTATGTTTATATAAATATATAGTGCATTTACTTAAGATAGTTTAATCCCTCAACAACTCAGTGATGTTTGATCATTAAATCACCAATCAAATCCCTAATGTTGATGCTGAAAAATCCATGGTTAAATCCATGAACAAATCTCGATAGTGTTTTCCCCATATCTTAAATAGTCTTCAATAGGTTCTTTTCACCAATGATTGGTACCCTCTGGTAATTTAACCGTAGCTATTGAAAATGGCCATGTATAGTGGATTTTCCCATATAAAATGGTGATTTTCCATAGTTACGTTAGTTTACCAGAGGGTAAATCAATGTAAATCACCACATATAAACATCCCCATGAAATCACAACCATCAAATCCCTGCTGGGTGATGGGTGAAATCCCCATGATTAGCGCGTGAAATCGAAAAAATCACCCATTTTACGAGGTAAATCGAGGCAAATCACCAGGACTTATCCTGGCTGAAATCCAGAGATACCCTCTGGTAATGACTAACAGTGTGCTATTGAAGCAAAAGTGCCCTCGAATTTTCGTGAATTTTCCCCCAATAAACATGGTGATGTTCCATAGTTAAAAAAAAAGTTTACCAGAGGGTACCCTCTGGTAATTTAACATAGCTATTGAAAATGGCCAGTTATAGTGGATTTTCCCATTGAACATGGTGATTTTCCATAGCTATGTTAGTTTACCAGAGGGTATCCACAGTTGGATGTAGCCAAGTTAGCCAAGGCTCTGTGATGAAGGACTTCCATTTGGCCTTGGGACATGACGCCATGGCATCCACCACCAATGAGGCACGGTTCAGCCGGGCAAAGCCCAAGACGTCCTGGGCTTTGCCAAACGCCGGTGATGACATGATGAATTTGATGTTATGAAAATCTTACTGAGCCAGAGGCTATAGACCCCCAAAAACAATTGTTTATCATTTTTTTATCAAATTTTGATGGATCTGGAGTGATTTTTGACGAAGTTTGATGGATGTTTGATGAAGATGTTGATGAATGTCGCTGATATTGGGTGATTTTTGATGATGTTTAAAAAAACATAATGGATGTGTTCTCAACATGGTAGCCATGACAATGTCAACGACCCAAAGGATGCCGCCCTTGAAGGTCAGTGCCTTCAGCCTGTCCTTGTTGATATATTCGTAGGTCTGATTCAGCTGCGCAATCAACAAGTTGAGCAGCAACACCACTGACACCAGGAGGAACAAATAGATCATGGTCAGCAACATGGGATCACCTCAAGGCGAATGACAAAGGCCGGACACTGGATCAGTAGGGCCCAGTGCTTCGACCAGTTCGATCCGGTCCCCCGGTTCGACCTTTTTTGCGACCGCACCTTGGATTTCTCTGAAGTCACCCTGATAGAGTCCAACGGTGATGGAGAAGAGTGAGATAATGGCATTCCACATGTCATTGAAATTACCTGGCAAAGATCAGCGCCGCGCCACAGGGTGGAAACCCAAGACTAGCAGGTTCGGTGAAAATTCAGATTCAAATTGCCAGACATAGTTGATGAAAGGAGAAGCATGCAGGATTCTCAAACACCATAGCGTGGCTAGTCTGGAAAGCAGCCCCCAGCTGGGCATGATTCCTTCTATTGTTCATATCCAATGATCTCATGTCAATTCAGTTTTAAACAAGAAATCTGCTTGGTTAAGTTTGCAGACTGCCACTTTATGAGAAACTATCATATTTTGGGGGCAATTTCCATTTAGTTCAATCGACCATGCAGTTTCTCTAAACTACCACCATTCACTGAGGTTTACACAGACCGATGGCTTAGGTTAAAGGAAAATGTAATGGAACATGGTGGAACCCCCAATAGTTCCTGAGACAAAAACATGAGTTCATGGAGTTCCTTTAAATCTAAGCAAAATACTTCCCAAATCCATCCAAATCCCAGATTTGGGTAAGGTTTCCCAACACACATCAAGCATCATCAATCCAAAAAAAAAGGTCTTGCTGGTTCATATTGAAATTTCATATTGGAGGTTTTCCTAATATGGGAAAACACCCCGAAATCATCCAAGTCATTAGATATCGTTAGATCATTTAAGTATTGAAACCCATAGTCTCACATGGGAGTTTCCTAAAATATGGGTACCCCCCAAATCATCCATTTAGTGGGATTTTCCTTCTATAAACGATCCATTTGGGGGTGCCCCCATTCCAGGAAACCCCCATATGGAGATCCCTATATTTTATGAAACCCCGAATGGTTTTCCCAAGGATGCTGCTGCCTCCATCATCCCCACATTGCCGATCGCATAGGATGCTGATCGTGCCTTGGAGCAGGCTTCGATCAGTCAACTTGGGAAGCGAATTGCGCAAGCCCTCATGTCAAATATACCGGCTCCGAAAAAAAAACTAGACAAGAACAAACATAAATGAAAAACATACTTTTTTAGTAGGATTCGTTGTTGTCCTTGTCGTTGTCGTTGTGGTGGTCGTGGTCGCAGTTGTTTTTGTTGTTTTTGTATGTTATTGTTATTATTTTTGTTGTTTGTTGTTGGTTGTTGTTGTTTGTTGTTGTTTGTTGTTGTTTATTGTTGTTTGTTGTTGTTTATTGTTGGTTGTTGTTGTTTGTTGTTTGTTGTTTGTTGTTTGTTGTTGTTTGTTGTTTGTTGTTGTTTGTTGTTTGTTGTTTGTTGCTTGTTGTTTGTTGTTGTTGTTGTCGTTGTCGTTGTGGTCGTCGTGGTCGCTGTTGTTATTATTGTTGTTGTTCTTGGTGTTTTTGTTTTTGTTGTTCTTGTTGTTAGTGGTTGGTGTTGTTGTTGTTGTGGTGGTGGTGGTCGTCGTCGTCGTCATTGTTTTATTTTGTGTTGTGTATATGTGTTGGGTGCTGTTATACAAAATAAAATAAATATACCTCTTGTCAATTGGTCGTGAAAGTATCGAGATCTCAGTCCAGCACCGGAGAAAAACACACAATTCAACTGGATAACGCTAGCGTCATGTACCCTCTCGATCCAGACGTCATGGAAATCTGACAGCCATGAAACACATTAAAACACCATCTGACATAGATGAATACATAATTTTTTATACCTATATTGACCTATATCGTTAATTAATCTTCTAAAAACATAGCAATTGAAAACCACCATTAAAAAAAGGCGAATCATCAAACTACATAGGCCATGGCTTCCAGTTCCAGCAACATAAACGAAGCGAGTAAGAATCAACAACAATAAAACGTACAAACAGCTTGAGGATACAACTTGACTACAAGATATCACCAACAAGCAGAAAGAAACATGTGAGTATCAGTATGACCGACCATCACATGGCTATCCCCAAAACTGGGGCACCAATATACACATGTGTGTCATTCTTTAGTAGCTCACCATGCATGTGTTGGCATACATTAGGGCTTTTATGGGATTGTCACATGATACTCATTTCAAATTTCTGTGTTTTTTTGTCGGAACTGCTTTTCTGCCCACTTATGCACAAACTCTGCTTCGAACCTTTCTTGTGTATTTACATAGCTTTGGCATCCACATCCATTCTTCGTTTTGAGCACCCATCGTGCAAGATAAATCCAAATGCCAACATGGGTTTCGAATGGCCACAGGTGGAGGTTCCCACCAAAGGTTTTTCAAAAATCACCAGAGAGCGCAGCTCAATGCTGAAATCAACGCTTGTTGATGGGCCTTTGTAGCATAGCAGCGGCCTGGTGACGGCATGTTCAATCAATACAACAGAGTAGTTTTTCCTAAACCAAACGCGTTTTTCCTGCGGGCGTGCTTGTCATGTTGTTTTCTCGATACAACAGCGCTTTTACCAGTGCCCCAGTTTTGGTTTATGTTGATACCCTCTGGTAAACATACAAAAAGATATTGAACATGGCCATTTATAGTGGATTTACCGGTTAAAAAATTGTGATTTTCCATAGTGTTAACGTTTACCAGAGGGTATCCCTATCAGAGTCGAACGGTACAGCTGCAGGCCCTGCAGGTCATGCCCAGGTGCTGCCGAAAAGGAGCAGCAGAAAGGTCAGGGCGGTGAGAAATTGCTTCACTTCACCCAGTACATGGCCCACCACCAGCAAGAATGCAGACCTTTTTCGACGCAAACGCTTGGTTCGTTTGGATCAATCATCCCAGTTCTTTGTTTTACACAGCAAATGTTAGATATTGTTAGATATGACCCGTTTGGTCCAACCGGATATACTTTATGAATATTCGTTGTTTGGGCACCAGCTGTTAGAATGGATCGCCCCACAACTACTGTATATGGGGGGTTCCTAAAAAATTGTTCCTAAAAGTCTAATGACTTGGATGATTTCGGGGTAGCCCCATTTGAGGCAAATCCCATAGACTCATTAGCCCACCTTGGATGTTTTGCTTCATGAAAGGTGGGGATTCCAACAGAAGCAACCTTCTCCAAAGTCCAAACCATGAGACAGTTGGGTTGAGAAGATCGTCATGTCAATCAGCAACAGCCAATGGACCTCAGAGGGGCGTCCCATGTACCAATGGTGTCATCAGGCTTGGCTGATCAAATCCCCGAACTAGCCATGAAGGTGTATAGCTCGGGAAAACCATGGAGAAAACCATGAATTATCATCGAACTATGGTTTAATTTGAATAGCGGCTCTACTGAGCTATTCATTGTGAGGGTGCATCTAGGAGAACATGGAGAATTGGGGCGAGCTGCGATCATGGCAATCATGCCACACACTGAGTACCAGTAGAAGATCTCTGCCGTTGCTTCGGGACACTGATCCTGAACGAAGGGGACAGGGTCCGAATCCGGCAGCCTATCAGCACCGGATTCCTCTATGGTTTAATGATGTTTAATGTCCAATAATCTCATCCCTCATTCACATTCAAGAGGTCCCAAGTCCCAAGTATGTTTGGCAACCTTGTTACCATGGTTTCTGGGGTGTTGTTTCCTAACGGGGGAAGGGATTGGATGATCCAATGTGGGTCCCCCATGACCGAACTTTTGGGGACTTCTGTGATCTTCTGAATCTTCTGTGACGAGAATTCATGGCCTTGTGACGACTCTGATTGTATAGCAACGCACTTAGGCTTCCACCTATTTCCCTTGACCTCAGCAAAAACGCAAGAAATGCGATGGGGGGATGATGAGGGCCTAACATCAGCTGCCAGTGACTTCGCTGTATCATGTTATATATGTTATGGTCTCAAAAGATGATGGCGTTTCTGATCCAAGCTGGGATTGTGAAACCACCGGAAGCCCCCTGACCATTCACAGAACATCTCCACTGAAGCGCCGAGCATCTGTGGGCCAATCTGGAGAATTGGCGCAGCGCAACATGGGCTCCAAAAACATCATGAGGACCAACATCAGCATCACCGTAAAGCTGATTCGATTGTAAGTGTTCCTGAGCCATGGCACCGGCCGTGCACGTCAGAGCCGTTGGGGCTGAAGGGACTTCCAGCAAGGTGGCCGAGGAAAGCGATCAGAACATCTTCAACGTTGGAACAAGTTTCATGCAACTTGAAACAAATTTACATAACTTAATTAACTATTAGAGATCATGGTCCCAAGGTGGGAATGGTAAAAGGTGAGCCGTGGTCATCATAAGTGGGTGGGACCCAATGGAGTTGACAGCATGCCTCAAATGAGAATCAACCAGGTGTGCACCCACTTCCACAATCCTTTCCCCCTCCCAGTCGAACCCTTCGGGTGTCAAGTTTCTTCTCCTGATTCGCCAAGTCTTTCTTGCCTTAGCAGTTCATCTTCTGATGCAAAACATGCGCGACCAAAATCAACGAATGCAAGTTTTAGCACAAGAAAACGCAGAAAACACGGATCTGGGAAAAGGATCTTCAAATATGTCTCCCTCCTTCTCTCTCTCTCCATCCGTGCACCTTTCCCATCGAACAACATGTTTTTTCCCCTAGCCGTCCGATTACAGCCACTACAGCCCGAAAAACCACATACCCCCATCTGGTGGTGGCAATGGTTGACACCACATAAACCCCAAAGGGGTAGGATATGGTATGATACTTTTTTCGGAGGACGATGCTGACTAGAATTGGCTGAGGTAAGTCCATGATTTCTGCGTTTCATTTTCCTCTTAAATCAATCATTGATGAGCAATAATCCACCAAGAATGCCAGTTTGATTGTTTTTTTCATCGCCAAATCCGATCTTGGCCACAAAACATGTCAAACATATATGTAAAACTTGTTTTTGAATGGTTGACCATCCAGGATGATCTCTGTTCCCATTCACGAACAAACAGATTCCTAAAAAGGCTGATCGCTGAGTCACTGGTGTCCATCTCTTCCACATCTTCATCGTTGCGCAGCACCTTCAGGGCTTTGCGAATCTCGCCCTTGACCGTGTCTTTGAAGCGGCTGAGGGCCTCCTTCATCCTGGGATGCCGGGGGCTGAAGTAAAGAATGGTATAAAAAAAAACACCAACTAGGAGGAGTACAACAACATATATATATATATACAACATTTATGTTTATGTTCCATAGCTGTGTTAGTTTACTGAGCATATCACGCCATGAATCTCTTCCCAGTCGATTTCACCATTGCCATCGGTGTCGATGTCCGCGATGATGCGTCTCATGGTGTCTCTGGACCAAATCCAAACACGATGAAGCTGGAGCATGAGCAAGCGACCCATACCCACGATGTAGCTAAACCTCAGCCATCGTGGAAGGGATATAAAGGGATAGCGTTCTGGTATGTTCTGGTTGTACCCGAAAAAGCACCAGTGTCATGAGCTACATAGCTGGGAAATTTCTCGAATTAGTCGTGGAGGACAATCATAAGGATATTATATAATGGTATTATATATAATGGTATTAAAAAGAAAACAACAGCTTATTATATATATATACATGTAATATGCGATACCAAGAACTTAGTGTTTTTTTCCCACTTGCTAAGTATAAGTTATATCAATATATAATTATATATGCATCAGTTCTATCATATCCTTGATTTTGTTAGATGAGCCATCCGGTTCTAGTGGGAAAGTCACTGAACTCAATGTGGCGTGGTCATCCATCAAATAATGGAAATCCTTATCATGGGCATATGAATCCATATGCCCATGCATATAAATCCAATGAACAAACCTACCATTCGGAGCTAGGGGATGGTGGTTTCTGCTTGGGTTTACCACAGTTACACTAGCAATGATTATATAGGGGTACCAGTGGTGGATGATTATTTATTGTTCTTGTTGGGAAGTATGTGGAGTTTTGAAATATAGTACTTTGGGTTAAGCACCTTGTGACTTGGACCCATAGCAGCTATGGTGGTTTATAGTCCCTGAAAATCTCTGAAATATCCATCAACAAAAACAACGTATCCTAGGCTGAAATGCCCGAAACACGTTCATGTCTAAAAGTCTCCAACAATTAAAATCATTGAGAACATGAACACACTCCCATGGTTTTGGGAATCTATGTCGGACGTTCATTCTTAATCAATTTTGCGATATTGTTAGTGAATCCACTGTGTTGTTACTTTTTGTGAGGGCTCCAGTTCAAGATAATTCAAGCAAAACTATGATAAATTATGTAGTTGCCTCTTGTGTGTTTTGTTGGGTGGTAACAGCCCTAATTCATCAACCAGGCTTTGTCCCTATCAAATTTAAGCCGCTACGACCTGAGATCTTGCCGACAAAAATGTGCGACATCTGCGAAACGTGGAGGCAAAGGAGCCCGGTTCTTTGTGACCGGTTGGACGCCCAAACGTGAACAGAATAAGTCCGATGCGAAGAGCTTCATGACTACTGTAGCCATTTTACAAACTGCAGATCGTAGTAGATTATGACATGGATTTGGACAGCATTACAATAGTAGATTATGACATATAGTAACCATGTTTTGCAAATGACAATGGGTTTGGACTACCCAAACCTCCATTAAATACAAAAAAACGCCCGATTGATCGTGCTGCCTCTTTTTTTAGGGGCAGCTCACCGAGCCACATTCGAAAGAAGAAGGTCCTCAGTGACGGAGAAACTGCGCGGATACCCCAAGCGAAAACATGGCTTCAGAACGGTACATCTGTGGTATATTATCTGGTTGGTGGTTTTAACCATCTTGAACAATATTAGTCAACGGGAAGGATGACATCCCATATATTATGGAAAATAAAAAGTGTTTGAACCACCAACCAGTTATATATATGTATATATAATTTTACATGATGTACTAATGGTACCCACATGATACAATAATGGTACTATATAATGGTATTAATTGACATTTACAGTATTACAATTCTACATTATTATTTTTTACTCATGACACATTTATAAGATTCCATGTGATTGCCGTATATTGTCATCACCATCACGATCATTATCTTGATCATTCTTCATTTCTTCTGGGTATATAGTATAATGTGGGTAAAACAATAAACCATCCATGACTGGGAATGGTTTCTACATACCACCTATAAAAATGGCGATTTTCCTGGGGGATGGTGCGTTTATGGCATGGGCTTTGACGGTCCAAGCATCAGACTATACAGCTGCGTGGAGCCGCCGTAGAAGCGGATGGTCGCAGGCATGATCTCCTAGCGGAAGACATCGTCACATCTCCATCGATGTGGCGAAGCTGCCATAAACCGAGTGCTTCCGAATGGGTTATACCATATATGGTTAATAAATGGTTATTATATGGTTATATAATATATGGTTATTGTATGGTTAATGATGGTTAATAATAATCTGGTTGGTGGTTTCAACCAACCAATGGGAAAGGACATCTATGGTTGGTTAATAGTGGTTAATAATGGTTAATAATAGATGTGTCATGAGTAAGAAATAATAATGTAGCATTGTTGTCAATGAATACAATTATATATAGTACCATTATTGTATCATGTGGGTACCATTAGTACATCATGTATAATTATATATATAACTGGTTGGTGGTTTTGAGCCACCCCTCTGAAAAATGATGGAGTTCGTCAATGGGAAGGATGACATGACATATATGAAATGGAAAATAAAAGTCATGTTTGAAACCACGAGCATATTAATTTTACCGTTTATGGTGATTTTGGAGATGGTTTACTACTGGGATCTACTGGGTTTGCTATAAAATACCGGGAATTTGAGCTACCAGGAAGTTCCGCACAAACATCGAATGAGAACACAAACAACTTTGTCACCTCCAGGAGGACGGTATTAAACGGAACATATTACGATTGAATGCTGGACGTCAAAAACATAGTAAACCAATCTTCTTATCTGACGCATTCCGCTTTCAACATTTCCTCACAAGTTCGCTTCACGGACCCATCTACTTTGCAACATTTCGCACAAAAGGTCCTGTCCGAAGATAAAGATCAACAAGTTCACGATGTTCCACATGCGTGAGACGATAAACTGCCTGCGCACCACTCCAGCCCACAGCAGCTCGATATTCACGTCCACCACCGGGTGTGAAACAATGGATGGATCACCGGCTGCAGAGATCCACTTGATGGCCGAGGAGAATTTGCCCTTCTCATCCTGCAGCATGTACCTAGCAGGTGATGTCATCATCACCGCAACCACCAGAAGAAACCATCACCTTTATTCAAGACATTTAAGACTTACTGTAAAGACTACTGGTCCATTTCCATCCATTTCCCATCACAGTCACATATGTCACATGCAACAGGCATCATGGCAACGATGTGCAACGATCATCTCTGATAGAACTCTGCTGCCCAGTGGCTTTACAAAATAATTCACGCGTCTTTTGGTGCCATTGGACTCAGTCCTGGGGCGGCAAGTGATAACCATCCCATACCATGCCATGTCATATCGTGTCATATCATACACATAGACGTTCACACACTGGTCTATCTGTCGAACTATTCAAGTAACCAAGTATCTAAGATTTATCTAAGTATGTATGCACCTGTGTATATTTAATATAGTGGTATTGATATATCGCTCTCTCTCTCTCTCGCCAGCTCTGTGAGGTCATATACATATATATATATATATACATACACACACATAACTATCTATCTAATTCTATCTATCCATCCATCCATCCATCCATTCATGCATCCATCCATCCATCCATCTATTTATCTATCTATCTATCGATCGATCTATCTATCTGTCTATGTATCTATCTATCTATCTAATCTAATCTAATCTAATCTAATCTAATCTAATCTATCTTTCTATCCATCCATCCATCCATCTATCTATCTAATCTATCTATCTATCGATCCATTGCTTCAGGTCACTAAAAGTGTGCACATGTTTTTTCCACAGGAGAACACATATGTACAGTAGCTGTGTTACTATATTACTTACATTTATTACTATATTCCTAGGCTATATGATTATATTGTTGTATTACCATATTACCAGCCTTACTATACCTAATAGTTAAGAGTTATGTTCCGTGGAATAATCATCAACATACAGCATACTTTGAGCATACATTGAGCATAAGGTTATGACGTCGAGAGACCTTCATTCATTGGAAAATGGAAAATAATTAAAGTTAGGAAACAAAAACAAACAAAAAACAAAAAAAAAAAAACAAAAAAACAGCCCCCCCCAAAAAAAAAACACAATAAAAAAAACAGTAAACAAAACAAAAAACAAACAGTAAACAAAACAAAAAAAATAAAAATAAGGGGTACCACGAGCCGCCGCGGGCACCCCCTAGACTGATTGCTTGCCCCCCATCAAGGGCAATAGGCGCACTGTTTGAAGCTTTGACTAGGCAGCCCTTCTTGGATTTTGGGAGTCTTGGTCGCAGCTTGGCAGCAGGCAACGCAGCAGACTGTGGACTTTGAGAGCAAGTGGTATCAACAAGCTGCAGCGATTAGGGAGAAGCACAAAGCCTCTCTGAGTTTCAAACCGTGTGCTGTTTATTGTTCTTTGTGTTGTTTATTGTATTTTGATTGTTTTTGTTTTGTTTTTTGTTTGGTTTTTTGTTTTTTTCGGGGGGGGGTTGTTTTTGTTTGTTTGTTTGTTTTTTTTTTAAAGCTGGTTTCCAGTAAAATGAAGCCTTTTGCGTCATAAGCATAAGGGATATGTCACATCAGCCAACATCTTCCCCCTGCGACCCTAACGGATCTGTCCCCACGGTCCCCCCGTCACCTGTAGGAGCGCCAAACCAAGCCGTCCAGCAGCGTCCGCAGCAGGGCGCTGGTGCGGTCCGTCAATCGCTTCACGATGTCTGGATGCCGTTGGAACAACTCCTCAATGCTGTCACCAAACGATGGCTTCGTGGATGGCTTCGATGGGTCCCATGATGATTTCGAAGAAAAACATGTTGCAACTAGTACAACTAGTCGGTTGATCTGAGTTTTTTTTGATGGTTTATAACATATTAAGTAACTAGTAACTAGTAACTATCGTTCATGGTACTTATAAAATCTTATAACTCTAGTTGATGGGGTTTATGACACAGGACACCCGTATTTGTTCAGTTGTTTTTGGTTGTTGGCCTGTTTCTGTTAATGGGTTAACACACAATCCCCCTCGAAGTGCGCAGTTTTTGGTTTACAAAAAGGGGGTATCTACAAGGTGGTGCCCCATGAGTTGGTTTCCCATGAATTGGTTTATAAGTAGATTAACTAGAAATTATGGCAAATATGATCGATATTAAGATATTGCTGTTATTATATGTTACTATTATATAAATTACAGTAGGTATATTACCTAGATATGGAATACTATTTCTGGTTTAGAATTGCAGTTGATAAGTAGATTAACTAGAATCTACAGTCATGTCAGTTATGTCATGAGAATTATAAACCAACTAACCAACCTATAACTGGGGGTGACACCACCCTGCAGGCAACAACAGCAAAAAGGGACATCTATGACACCCATGCTGCTTTGCCCATAAATATTCCCCAAATAGTTGTTTGATTTGTTCAATCATCTTCAACCCCCCCCAAAAAAAAAAACTCAACATTTCTACACATTTCTGATATATGTCCTTACCATGGGCTCCCCTTTTTCCCCAATGGTCAAACCCTCCTCCGCCTCCCGCGTCCTCCGCCCCGTAGTAGTACTTGGCGCGGTCGGCGCGGATGATCAGCAGATCTTTCAGCATGGCGCGACAGATGTTCTCCGAACCATTCTCCAGGGCCCAAACGAAGGGGGAGATGAACTGATCACCTTTTTGCACAGGACTTAAGTGGCTCTCTCGGTGGATTTTTTAAGCAAAAAGTTGGAGATTTTGGAAGCACCTAGATGATCTAGATGAGGATTTATAAGTGGAGTTTTAGGTTAGCTCGGTATAATTCACTACTATTTCACTCGGCTTATGGTTGATATTTCGCACGAGTTAAGGGATGTTAAGCACCATGTTGCACCAATGCCATAAGATGAAGGGAATAGGATGACGTGTGGCAGGGAGTCGGTGGAATCTCCTTGTCAACCCTTGGTCTCCAGATGTCTCCAGCAATGTGAAGTTCATATTAATCAGCACCCCTGAATTAATCAACACCCACCTTCGAAAAAAAGGCAATACTACTTTGGGTTGGTCCCTCCCTATTAATCAACATGGGTGGTCACCCCTATTAAATGACATCCATTGAAAAACCAATGGATTCAAAGCATGTCTCATACTAAATCTCATGAATCCCATTTTGGGTTTTGCATGGATTTAGGGGGGTTATTAATACGAACTTAGCAGTAATCAAACATGGCAACGAAAAACATGCCTTTCATAGATGATTTTAAGGATTTCATGGGATTTACCAGCTTACATGTTTGATTTCCGGGTGCAAATGGACATGGAGTTGTCCGACAAATGTCCAGCCTTCATGCCATGCCGGGGATAGCGGCGCTGAAGGCTATCAGCTTCGTACCCAATAGTCATGTCAAGAATCAAGGGCGTGTTGATAATAAATTACTAAGCGCAAGACGGAGTCAGCCGGAGAATCAAAGAACGAAAATGATTGAACTTTCTTGGCCCCACCCCACGCCACCCCACCCCCCGTGAAAGTAAATATATCAACATCATCAACATCTCCGAAAAGTCCATAAAACACGCAACATAAAATTCCTCAGCGCCGCTATCCCCGGCATGAGCATCAACAACTCCCATTTCGGGATGTTTACAAACCAATTTCTGGAAATGGATGGAGATGGATTTTTGGTGTTTTCGCTGGTTGACTCCCTTTAGTGTCCATATCATTTTGGGGTGCTGAAAATTGTGGCTTTACCGCCTCTAAAAACGGACACATCATTTACCAGGAAATTTACCACATCATTTCCATCCATTTTGGGGTGCTATTTTTTTTGAGTGGTTTAGTAAACCACTCAGTAGTTTAGTCGATTTTTGATGACAGATCGTCCTGATGATTCCCATCAAGGTGTTCCCATTCACCTGCCCTTCATCACGTCCCCTACCATGCCCTATCTAACTACTTAGTAGTCACCAAAAAGATAAACAGCAACTATCTTGGCATAGGGCCCCCAAAAAGGTCGACAGGATGCTGTAAATGATATCTAGCCCATAATTCCCAACTTTCAAGCTGTTATTTTTGGAGGCTGCTGCCAAATATTTCTTCTTAGGGGTTGCTATACGCAATAACCAGTTTCCATAGCCATGTTAAATTACTAGGGGGTAGATATTTCAAGCATATGGATGCTTATGGAGGTTTCCTAAAATGGGGGTACCCCTTGAATCATCCATTTTTTGGGGTGGATTTTCCGATTCTCCATGAAATAAATCATCCATAAATACGGGATCCCCCATTTCCCATGACTATGGAAACCCCCAGGTTGAGAATCCGAATTTTCCACCAAGGAACCCACTTGGATATGGAGAAGCCACGTTGCTCGTTCGCCTCTGGGTGCTGCCGCCAAAGCTTTCTGCAGAGCCTATGTTTTGGGTGCGATTTCGCGGGAAATCTATGGGGAAGATGTTGGTTTTAATGTGGTAAACCCAACAGTAAACATCCGAAAAGAATCTGATGTCGCTGTGATGTTCCTGTCATCACAAAACTGGGCCCTCAGGGCTAGCTTGTGAACATCCGAACGGTTCCATCATTTAAGAATCCGTGTCAGCAAACAAAACCTGCACCAGTCAGGTTGAATGGAGCTTTTGATCTGGGGCAGCAAGCGATAGGAAACTGCAGATGCTGATCCCAAGACCCCCCATGGATGATGCTGGAAGTAAGTCAGTGATTGATTTTTACCCAATATGTGCACATATAGTACAATATATATATATATATATATTTATCTATTTGTTTATTTATTTATTTATGTGTGTGTGTATATGTATGTGTGTACATATTCTAAAACAACACCATCCCCAAAAATCAACAAAGACCTCGCCAAACAGAGGCTTGTAATACTAATGATGTTCCTTTGGAAATTGCAAATCCTCAGGGTCAAACTGTTCATTTGGGGGGAAGCTATGGGTTTTTCCAAACCACTACCCTCTGGTAAACTAACATAACTATGGAAAATCACCATTTTTAATGGGAAAATTGGAAAATCCACTATTCCTATGGCCATTTTCAATAGATATGTTAAATTACCAGAGGGTACCAACCATATACTATAATCCAGGATCATCGCAGTGAACGTGACCCGCTCCTTCTCGTTGTTGGCGTTGATGGCCGTCATGACCACTGTGGATCCTTCCTACCGGTGATGAAACCGCTGAGCTACCACGGGCTTTTTTTGGAAACACATAGGAAACCATGGATATCGTACAGGATGACAATTTACTCTGTTGCCGGTGTAAAACTCTGGAGCAAACCATGGTTTTTACCTTGTCATAGATTTTCCTTTATTTTTTTACATCAGCCAATTCTAGGAACCGGAAAGAAGAATGATAAACATGATGAACCGCTGGATTTTTGTTGGCACCACATTTTTTTGACAACCTCACATGAGACCGGGGTAGCCGGGGTAGCTAGATGCAAAGCAAATCTATGAGGAAATGGAACAGCCCAAAACTTGCAAACAATTCCAGGGATCAAGGCCAAGTCGGGTATTTGGGATTATTTGGGTATAAAAATTGGGGTAGGGATACCCTCGGCCAAACTAACACATCATAAGTAGTATGGAAAAAATCACCATTTTCATAGGTAAATCGAATTGTAGATGGGTAATGTTCAGTAGCTATGTTAAACATGGCTGGATGCTCGATCATTGTCCATGAAAAACTTCAGATGATTTCTGGGGGATGTCCCAGCCAGCCATGTTTGAATACTTTGAAGGCTATGTAAGATATGTTGGTTGAATATATTAGTATGATATATAATATATATAATTATATATCCCATTGCATACCCATGGCTATCGTCCAATAGATAGCATTAAATCAACACATATATGTTGGTTATTCTTCAAACATAACATGGCATGGTATGGGCAAGTCGTTGATCACATGTCCCAGGTGACCGAGAGATAAGACCCCGCAAGTCTGTCCATGCTGCAGTGCTAATCGATATGCAGCATTTTCTTTTGAAGGTAGCAATCATTGTTGTTAAATGACGTGGCCATTCTCCAGTACTTTGAGGGAAAACAACAACATTTCGATATTTTGGCATGATGATCATGATGTGCCAATTATCTTTCCATTTAAACATGATTAATTATTTTCAGATGTGGATGTCCCATCGCCATGATGACCAAAGGGGACTCAGAACGGCAGTGCAAATTTAAGTCCAGCCCTGACAGCTGCGACGCTCTGTACATGACCCGAACATGGCCAACACGAAGTCGGGACAGGCAAGGGCGTGACCTGGATGTCTCCAAAATTTTGAAAGCTGCTTTCAACCCCAATATCTTATCAGTTTGGTGGTTGAGCCACCCCTCTGAAAAATATGAAAATGAGTTGGGATGATTATTCCCAATCTATGGAAAAATAAAAAATGTGCCAAACCACCAGCCAGTTATATATATATATATATCTATATTCAGTATATATTCCCTGGGGTAAACTAACAGAGATGTGGAACCACCCTGTGTTGATCATTTATTCTCGGGAAAACATTGGTTCACATTTATAAGTTTACCCAGGTTTTTACCCTATAGGGTATCCCAATTGAAGGATATTAATCATGATATTGGGGTTGGTTGGGAAAAAAATGGAATTACTTTACTTCGTGTGATCCCCACCATGACATTTATACATGTTCTTACTGGCACATCTTCTGGCATTCTATCTGACATATCTTCTGACATTCTGTTTGGCATTCTATTCTATCTGGCATATCTTCTGGCATTCTATCTGACATATCTTCTGACATTCTATTTGGCATTCTATCTGGCATATCTTCTGGCATTCTATCTGACATATCTTCTGACATTCTATTTGGCATTCTATCTGGCATATCTTCTGGCATATATTCTGACATATTTTCTGGCATTCTATCTGGCATTCTATTCTGGCATTCTATCTGGCATATCTTCTGGCATATCTATCTGGCATATCTTCTGGCATATTTTCTGGCATTCTACCTGGCAAATCTTCTGGCACTCTATCTGACATTTTATCTTCCTACATGAGGTCCGGCAGGGAACACTTGGCGTGGATACTCGCGGTTGAGGTCCGGCAGGGAACACTGGGCGCGGATGGTCGTGGTTGAGGTCCGGCAGGGAACACTTGGCATGGATACTCGCGGTTGAGGTCCGGCAGGGAACACTGGGCGTGGATGGTCGTGGTTGAGGTCCGGCAGGGAACACTGGGCGTGGGTGGTCGTGGTTGAGGTCCGGCAGAGAACACTGTGGATCGCGGGTCGCAGTTGAGCAAGGACGACGAGGACGACGAGGACGACGAGGACGACAAGGACGACAAGGATGACAAGGAGGACGAGGAGGAAGAGGAGAGGAGGACGAGGCAGGAGGAGGCGGAGGAGGAGGAGGAGGAGAAGGAGGAGGAGGCAACTGACATAAAATCTAACAACCCTCACCTGGCAGGTGGGGAAAAATATAATATATAAGCCCAACATGGGATCATATGGAGGCTCCGCCCTGGTGCAACTACTGCCAGTTCGTATCTCGAAAATGAGATGAGCTGCAGTTGGCCGCAGGATTTCGCAGGGAAAATGGGCACAGATCCTCCGTTCAGATCTTCCAGCGCCCTTCTTCAGAGATGCGAATGAAGCTGCACAGACTCACTGGTGCCTAGTAGGGAATGGATGGGAATGAGGGAATGGGATGATTATTACTAGTGATTATGGATCATTCCCGAAAATTCCCTGCGTAAAACGCACCAGTAAGCAGATGCTGCACATCTTCCATCGATCCAGATCTAAATCTTCGGATCGCTGCGACGCTGCGATGCCTCAAATTTCCAAGGATTTCTTGGCTTCCTCACTGAGCTCCCCGTGCATCGCAGCCTTGAGACACTGCTGGAGGTAGTCTTCTGCTTTGATGGGAGGAAACCTGGCGGTCCAGGGATGGGGTACCACCGATGATAAGTGTCCCTCTTTCCGGGGCTATCAGACTATCATGGAGGACATATATATCTCCCATGATCGCCTCATTGGGAATGCCTCATCTGGAACATGATGATCGACCACAAAATTTTGGGGGAACCCTAGTTTCAAACATCCTTCGAAAGCCTTGAAACCAATTCTCACTCTCAGCCGTTTGTGATACCCTCTGGCAATTCGACATAGCTACAAACGGGGACCCGATACAGTATGTAAAAATAAAGCATGTTTCAAAAGTAAATCATGTAGAAATACGCCATATAAATAATTTATCCTTTTCCATAGCCATGTGAAATTCCTTGGCCAATCACCCAGCCGAAGCCAAGCTCTGCCCAGTGTCTTGGCAGGTGTGTCCCTGGTAAATTCTGGTAAGGCTTCCACCACGGTCTCCTGACAGGTCTGGTGACCAGACTTAGGAGTGCGTTCCACTTAGTAAATTCAAAAAAATGGGTCACCCAGCCCCCACTATCCCCCAGTTGTGGAATATCCCCGGTGGATATTCCATATCCAAGCAGTAAGATGACCTGCAAAACCCCAAACCATGTGGGATCATGCCAAAAACCCTGGGAACAATGATAATGACCCTCTGGTAAACATACAAAAATCTATGGGAAATCAACTATGAATGGCCATGTTCAATAGTTTTTTGTATGTTTACCAGACGGTAAGATGGAAACCACCAGCAATGACCGCATGGATTTTGCAAAGAAAACGTGGCCTATGAAATTCCAATGTCATGGGCCGCGGTGAGCCGTTCACAGGTGCACCTGTTTCATGGTTCAGAGTACTTAACCCCCCAAACTATTAAATCTATTCATGGTCAATTCCCGATGCTTCTCCGGCTTGGCTTATCCATGTTTGATGATTAAATCTTGTTAACTCGTTAAAATCCATCAGTTTTGTTGAAGAATCCTGGTTTAATCCACCATGTTTAATGGTCAACTCCCCACAGTTTTTTCCATCTCCACCGTCCTTGTCCGGGTCACAAAAAAAGGCCACGCTGTAGCGTTCCCGGCCCGGGAACGTCACCACGCGGTGAGGCGTGGCCTTCACGTGCTCGTTGCACCAGCGCGCCAGCATAGCACCGGTGTTCCTGGCCCCAATTGTTTGTGTCATAATATGGATATGGATGGATATGATATGGGGGTTTCCACAAATGGGGGAACCCCAAAATAGATGGTTTATAATGGAAAATTCTACTAAAATGGATGATTTAGGGGCACCCCCATTTTAGGAACCCCCCATATGGTGATTGTGGTTTTGTTCCCCAGTATTATGATATAATGATTATCATAGCAAACAAATATATAATGATAGTCGCATATACATATATATATATATGTGTGTGTGCGTGGTCCCGTCCTCCGTCTCTCCACCCCCCCCTCCCCCCCCCAATGGGTTGGGTCCCCAGGTAGCAGCCCCAATTCCCTTCTATTTGCAAGCTATTGAAGCATTTCTGAGGTCCAGCTTCGTATTTGCTAGGTCTTTGCACCATTTCTGACTACCAGCCTCGCATTTACTAGGTAGGCGACCTACGTAGCACACATACTCCTTCAAAGTACCTACGTGCTACCTATAGTCATATATACATGTGCTATGTATCTACTGTATCTACTTCCCATTTACTACCTATTTACTACCTGTGTACTCTGACAACACTACCTGTGTTTAACATATACCGTACCTACCATACATGTCAATGATGCCATGCATACCATACCTATCATATCTATCATACATACCATACATACCATACATATGAAATGCAATTACCACACCTACCATACATACAATAGCAAACATACATGCCATACATACCATACCTACCTTACGTAGGAAATATTCATCATAGTAACCATACATACCATACAGACCATACATACTGTCATATCAAACATACCATACCCAACAGACTTACATACCATACCTACCATCCATACAATACCAACCACTCATGCCATACATACCATACCTACCATACATACCAAACATACCATACTTTCCAAACATGCCATACCAGACCGACCATACACACCATACATACCCAACATACCATACCACTCCCACCACACCACAGGGGGGGGAGGGGGACAGTGCCACACCCCCACCACACCACAGGGGGGGGAGGGGGAAGATCTCATATGGGGCCAGTATATGGGACCCATCCCATTATTGGGAGGGGGGGAGGGGGGGTGGCAGGGCCTGGTGCATATATATATATAATTATATATATATATAAGTGGTTACAACAATAATAATCCCATCCCCCTAATATTAAACAACCCCTAAATGGTGTCCCGATGAAATATGTGGAAATTCGCTACTATACCATGGATTCTACAAGGTGTTTCATAGGAAGGGATTACCGAGGTCCTAGAATGATAATTGCAGGATGGCAACTCTCTCTAGTTGTTTTTTCTATTTATAAATTTATATAATTTTATATATAGATGCACACCATGTCACGCGAGTTGTAGGGAAAAAATGTTCCGTAAAGCAGCCACCCTGTGAGTTGACCCGGTACCCCACAATGAAGGGAGGGCTTGTCAGCGAAATATGTGGCATTTGTTCGAACCAATATATGTTTGCCAGTGCCCAATTTTGAACGGTACCCGCATGGGGCAATTACTATATACAATGACTGTTTGACATCAATATATGGGTATGAGTCAATACCCTGGTGCGAGTACCCCGGTGAACCAAAAGATAGCTGGCAAACAAAGGTTCATGCTAAACAAAAATGTACTGATAGATCTGATAGGCCGATAGGCATTGATTCATAACCATACTGTGCCTTTCCCGCCAGATCCAGATCCACCATAGTTCTGGCGTTTGTCTCATCCTGTTCAGTTTTCGGAGTCTATTGACAAATACTTGACCCCTGAAATTTAATTCGTTTAAATGCCTGATGCAAGTGTACAATATGTCAGTCAAACGAATAGTAAAATCGGCGGTGTAAACAAAAAACCTGGTTCAACATTGATTTTCCTACATTAACTGTCTCACAGACATTACTCTGGTAATTTAACATAGCTATTAAAAATACCCCATTTATAGTTGATTTACCCATTGGACATGGTGATTTTCAACAGCTATGTTAGTTTACCAGAGGGTAATGTTTTTTTGCACAGAAATTCATCATCAAGGCCAAGGCCTCCGGAAAATACTGCGCCAAGGCTCAACAAGACCGCACCCTCTTTGCCAGGGGCTGAAATCCAGCCACCTGTGGGTGTCCTCACCTTAGGACTCGAGCGAGTTCTTGAATATCCCGGGTGCAATGTCATTGGTGCCACCACGCAGGTGTGGATAAATACTATATATACATATATACATATGATATGCCAAATCAGAAGCAATCCGTGCATATACAATGTGTATGAATATATATATATATATGAGTACACACAGATAGATAGATACAGTATGATACAGTAGACCGACAAACAGACAGACAAACAAACACAAACAATAAACAAACAAACACTGTAACTTCTATTCAATATTCATATCCCCATCTTCTTGGGGTTTGGTGCAGCTGAGATGCCTCCAAACCTGGCACCCCATCTTCCACTAACAACACGGTGACGGAGCCGAAATCCGTGTGTTCACCGCCTTGGCGAACAGTTGGACGGCCTGAAAAATAACTTCCATAACTATGGTCTATGATGCCCAACACTGTATATATGTATCTATTATATCTCATTAACTTTTATATATATATATATTATACACATTATTTTTGAATTATATAATTTATATATATTTATATAAAGTTAATGGGGTCTATAAATAAACTTGTTGTGGAAATTAGATGTCATTATGAAGGAAACATCATCGAACTGCCATCCGGCAAACACCACTTTCGGCATCTTTTTGGGGACTGACCTGAAAAAGGGTTGAGCACATGAGAGGACTAGTCGATTGTCCCATGTTTGGGGAAAAATCCGACGACTGGCAAAACGACCTCATGAAAAAGTGATGTTTGCAAAAACATGGGGGTTGATTCGGAATCCACCCGCAACAATACAGAAAATTATGAGGATTTGATGTAGTTTTTTACAATGTGAAGAACAAGTGGGGATGTTGATAATAGAACTATGCTGATTCAGCCCAACAAATTTTAATGGAGGATGCAATGTTTACTTGAAAGAGTGACATGAGTGATGTAAACAGCAAACATCGGATGACAGGGGGTCCGAAAAACATGAAATCCTGACAACTGGGCTGCACACTGCGCCCTGGAAATTCCGTTTCAAGAATGATTGCAGTGCATAAATGGGGGTATCCCAATAGCTGGATAGTTTATAATGGAAAACCCTATTAAAATGGATGATTTAGGGGTACCACCATTTGAGGAAACCTCCATATACGCCATGCCATATCCTTTGTTTGATCGATTTTGTTCTGGCAATTTCCGCTTGCGACCCCCATCCAAGGCGCAAGGTAAGGCGGACCCATTGCCAGCGTCGGATTGAGGATAGCGCAGCAGCCGCAAGGTACACAAGTCAAAAGTGCGGAGTGACCGTGCCTTTGTTGAGCTGGGACCTGCCGAATAATCCTGGGGAGCTTAAAGATTGGCTATATCATGCTATATCTCAGTGATTGAAATCATAGTGCCTGGAATCATGTTGTGTCTTTTCTCCTAGTTACATCCAAGATTATCCAAGTTTTTTTGCTGGTTAGGTGCTCTTTCTCTGTCTCCAAGTATCTATCTATAAATCGATCCATCCATCTATCTATTTTCCATCTATCCCTCTGTATCATTTATATATATCATCTATATCTCTATATCATCGTTCCATCCATCTATCTCTCTCTATATCATCTATATAACAGTACTGCATTTATCGTATGTGCTTCTTTGCCGTAAATGGTTTTTATCAAAACTTGCCCTTGAGCCCTTGGACATCGGAATCGTTGAAAAATACCTGGTGTCTCACGAACATCGGCCTCCAAGCCCAATGTTTTGGGGTTCCTTTTATATGAATCGATTGTTGTTGGGGATTAGTAGCCCCATCATGCTCCATTTTTCTCTTTCTCTCTCTCATTCTCTCATTCTCTCATTCTCTCATTCTCTCTCTCTCTCTC